AAATTTAAAAATATAATTTTCACAATATTGTATTCCAAAAAGAAAAAGTTATAATTAATGAATAGACTTTTACAAAAATTAACAAATTAAAATTTTTTTATTTAATGCTGATGAGAAGATTAATTTTTAAAATTATCTGCGCAACGCTCCGGTAAATAGAACAAAATCATTTCAAAATGCTATAATTTTTTCATTAATTTTTATTTAATTATTACTATTTTTTGTGTGTTTTTCATAAATTTTTGCTTAAAAAACAAGATTTATTCTTCATTATTCAAGAATTCTTAAATAAAAACTTGTAATAATTTAAACCTAAAATATTAATTAAGAATTCAAAAATAAATACTTTAAAATTATATATATTTTTTAAAAGAATGTATCCAAAAAATCAAATTATAATTAGTGTATAGACTTGCATAAAAATTAACCAATGAAGAAACAAAATTTTATTTGTATTTAATGTTGGTGAGAAGATTAATTTTTTTCTCAAGTATATACTTTGATCTATATGTATTTATAAAATAGTCAATAAAATTGGCAGAAAAAATAGTATTTGAATAATTGGTTGGTTTCTTTAAAAAATTATTTTAATTATTTTATTCCAAATAAATTTATTTTATAATGTTAAAAAAATATTTATAGTAAATAACTTGTATTATTTTGGAAGATATATAGTTAATTTTTAATAAAATCAACTATTCAATAATTTTTTTTATATGTCTTAACCATACCTAGTGAACTGAGACAAATTATTTGAACTACACTTTTAACCTTTTAGAATAATATATATATATATATATATATATATATATATATATATATATATATGTGTGTGTGTGTGTGTGTGTGTGTGTGTGTGTGTGTGTGTGTGTGTGTGTGTGTGTGTGTGTGTGTGTGTGTGTGCGCGCGCGCGCGCAACTATCATTTAAAAATTCTTGAAATTCATGATATATATTGTACCAATTTATTTTTTAAAAAATAAAAAGGAATCATGTTTTAAAATTTTATTCTAAAATTTAAACATAGAGAAAAATAAATTATATAATATCGATAAATAAAATTTCACATAAAAACTATTAATTGGATGTGAATTTTTATTTTAAAAAAATGATAAATTCAAAGAATAAAATTTAAATAATAAGAGTAATATGAGTTGAAGCATATGTTAATTTTAAAATATAAAAAGATATATTATATAATCGTCGAGCTTTTGATAAAAAAAGTTACGATTGATTTTTCAAAATTTTAACACCCAATTAAAAAAAAAGAACATAAATTGATGAAAAAAAGCGAAGGAAAAATCAAAATTTCAAAATATTGACACCCAATCAAATAAAAAAAAACGTATATTGTTGGAAAAAAACCAAAGAAAAAAAAAAGAAAAAGAAAAGGCATGTGTAATGCATCGATCAAGGTTAGAATAAAATAATTATATATTTATATATATGCAACTATCATTTAAAAATTCTAAAAATTCATGATATATATATTTTACCAATTTATTTTTTTAAAAAATAAAAACCAATCATGTTTTAAAATTTTATTCTAAAATTCAAATATAGAGAAAAATAAATTATATAATCTCGGTAAATAAAATTTTATATAAAAAATATTAATTAGATGTGAATTTTTATTTAAAAAAAATGATAAATTCAAAGAATAAAATTTAAATAATAAGTGTAATATAAGCTGAAGTATATGTTAATTTTAAAATATAAAAAGATATATTATATAATCATCAATTTGTGTGAAAAAAAGTTAAGATTAATTTTTCAAAATTTTAAAACCCAATTAAAAAACAAAAACATAAATTGATGGAAAAAAGCAAAGGAAAAAATATTTTTTCAAAATTTTAACACCTTATCCAAGAAAAAAAGAACATAAATTGATGAAAAAAAACAAATAAAAAGAAAAGAAAAGAAAAGGCATGTGTAGTGCATCGGTTGAGGGATTATAATTTTTTACTTTAAATTTTTGGGGACCAAAATGAAACAAGTTAAAAATTACAAAAAAACCCCTAAACTACAGTAAAATAGTGATTTACCATTAAATGAACAGTAAATCACTGTTTCTTTATCTCGGATGGTTTAGTTTTATAGAAAATGTTGGCTATGGTAGTGTTGGTTTTTTTTTTTTTTTTTTTTTTGGTTAATTTTGCAGTAGAAAGGTTGGTATTTTGTGGTTAGGTGCATGTTTATTTTGAGTTATTGCTTTCACATCGCAACACACCAAAATGCTATTTTGCGGATTGTGTGTTCAATCTATGAATACATCAGTTTTATTTTATGAAAATGGGAAAAAAAAAATAAATAAGCATGTCAAGCAAGATTTTGGCTAAATTTTTGTTTCCTGATTGTTGTTATTTTGTTTGTCAAAACTATAGTTTAGACAATTTGCTAAACATGTGTGAGCTAAAAGAGTAAAGGTTTATTTATTTAAGATGGATCGAACAAAGCATGTAAAATTATTTTAATTTGAAAGTTTGTGTTATATTACGGTTCCACCAAAATATATCAAATCAAAGGTAATAAAAAAATTATTCAATTTTATGATTTTTTTTAATCAAAATTTTATATTTGAGCAGTTATTTCTTGTGTTTTTCATAAATTTTATTTTATTTTTTTCTTTATTCAGATTCTTACCCAAAAACTAGTAATGATCTAAAAAATAAATTAATAAATTAAAATCCATGAATTCTTAATTAAAAACTTATTTTGTAAATTTTTTTTTCTGAAAAATCTCAAACAAATTATGAAAAAACTTTTAATCTTTAGATTAAGTTTATATATGAATTTAATTTAAAGGTTAAATGATATTTTATTGTTATCATTTAATATACTATGTTTTTGCCAAAATCGAAGTTAATTAATCAAAATTATTTGGAAAGCCACATAATTTGAAATGAAAATAATAATAATGATAATAAATGTCAAAAATAATCATTATATATTTTTTTAATCCAAAACCATATTTGTAATATAAATATTTGATAAAACTTAATGTTCAAAATTATAGCCATATAAAATATAACTTTCAAACTTAACATAAATATATATATTTGTAATTAATATTGTGTGAATAGGAAAAAAATTATTTTTTTTTTAAGTAAAAAGGAATTTTTTTTTTAATATTGTGTAAATAGTGGTATTGATTCATTAACATAGCTTATTAGAAAAAAGACTAACTAATTTATTTTTTCAAATAAATAAGACTAATTTGTACGTGACGCCATTAAAGATTACATCTGCAGGCCTTTGAAGATGCTTCACGGAAGACAAATCCAATATAAAAGATTCAGAGTAAATTATATATTACCTTTTAGTTTTGATAAATGAACTAATCAATTAATTTTATTTCAAAAATTAATTATTAATTTAATCAGTATTGATCATGTTTAATGTAATATATTTTATTTTATAAAATATTTTATTTTTTATCATTCTTTTCATTAGATAAATCTATTTATTTTCTGTTTTCTATAATTAGTTTAATAATTAGTTTTTGAAATAAAAGTACTAACTAATTTATTATTTCAAAATAAAAGGATTGATTTAAAATTTATATAACTAAAGCCTACAAATGCAAGTTTTGATTCTCACCCTCTATGAAATCTGAATCTTCACGTGGCTTCACATGGTGGGCTGGCGCAGCTAAAGGCATTCTGAAGTCTTGGTTTCTACATCTGCCTCTACGGCTGAATTTGAGTCTTTTTTTTTTTTTTTTTTTTAACTTGCATAAAAAAATACACATTAGATCTAAAAAAAATAATAATAGTAATATGGATTCACAAAAAAAAAAAAAAAAAAAAATATATATATATATATATATATATATATATATATATATATATATATATATATATATATATATATATACGTGATTATGACAGAGAAGCAGCTCCTGTAAAAGTTTAAAAGAAAAATCATCATAACACTTGCAGCAAAAAAGCCGACGGCTATAATTATTATAAATGTTTGGCACCCGTGCTTGGTGCATTTCGAGAATTAATTAATCCTGGGTAGTTGGTGGACATCGATTCGGACTCTTATTTTATCTCACCAAGAATTGCTTTATGATCCCATACAAATTTTAAAAGCCCCAAATTACCCTCTCTTTTGTTTTTTGAATGTATTAGGAATACAATACAAAGAACTCATTTTTATAGCTACCACATCTAAAAAAAAATGAAGAAGTTTTTTACTTAATATTGTTTATTTCTTTTATAAACCTGTATAATAATTTATGGATGTAAATAATTAATATTTTCATTGTTGGCATTAATTTAGACTTCTTGATATCTTAAATTAATACATAATATGAAAAATTATATTTTTAAAAACTAAATCACACATATTTTCTACTTCGTTCTCACATATGGCTTGAGCTTTTATGACAATGTCATGTAATTAAAATGAACATGTGCAACGCTTGAAGTCGCAACTTAGTGGTGAGGTTAAGGGTCGCTCACCGATGACACCCGAGTTTGATTCTTTCTACGCACGTCTATCACCTCCGTAATACCTTACCTGCTCACTGAGCTTGCAGAGTGTTCAGTGGATCCAGAAATTAGTTGAAGATGTGCGTAAATTGGCATGGACACCTTAGGTTATAAAAAAAAAAAAAAAGTGAACATGTGCATAATGATGTTACATTCATGCTCTGAGCTTTTTGAAGAAAGTAAAAATAAAACAGCCCAATGACTGTTGGTAATTCATAATAATTTTAGCCAAACACTTGCCTAGACATGAGACATGAGACATGAGCCTTTGTCTCCTTAAACCCAGGGAAAATGCATTGAATGGCCAAATAAACTACAACTGTTGGAGCACCAATTGCTTTGAGTTTGAGAAATCCTTCTGCTGGAATGCACATCGATGAAGCATGTGCAGGAAATTAGGTTCAGAAAACAATCCAACCATCAAATAAAAAAATCACACGAAAATACATTTCTATCATAAAGAAAAGAAGAACTGATATATTAAATGAAGTATCAGGAGTACTTACAGGAGGTATGCCATAGTGTTGAGAAATATTCCTAATCCTAGATACATTGCCAAGGCCTTAAATACATCGATTGCAACTGCTAAGACTAAGGCAATAGAGACAAAAGATAATGACTTTCTTTTAGCCATTTCATCATCAGGGTGGACACAACCTTTACATCAAACAACTTCCAGTTTAGACTAAAAACTGAGAAATTTTTTGCTCAAACAATAGACTTGCATGTCTGCTAGAAGCTCAAGTAACACATGCTAAAAATTTATATATTCACCTGAAAAAGACTTGTCAGCATTCCTTGAAATGTCTTCAGCCATAAATGAAGTTGCTACACAAAGGAGAGCTCTATTAAAAACCTTTGATAGGATATTGAAAATTGACATGGAAACTCCTGTTGATGTTAACTCCAATGACCCTTTCTGAACAGATTAAGAGCTAATTAAGTCGTTTTTGCTTTCTCATATGACATTCATAAATCTAGATTCAACAAAAATTACCTACCCAATCTACTGACATAAGCTTCGGTTGTGCTAAAGGTTCGATTGCTTGTCCATATAGGATCAGTACCTAAAAAATCAATTCCAAATTCAGAAAGGAAGGAATACAATTTACCAAAATGCAAGATGCAAACTTGATAACTCATTTGTGGTTGTAAGCAACAATCATTACCCGTCCAAAATTTGTTCTTTAAGAGGAATTGGGGGAAGTGGCCCACTATACTTGCCCCTCCAATTGTGGCATGCAAGAATTCCTTCTGGGCATGGAGCCTAGCAAGAGATCTTAACCTCCCGATGGTTGTTTTTTCTTGACTTGGAGATGACTTAGCATCAATTTCTTAAGATTTTGCAAGAGAACCATTCAGATGTTGCATCAAAAGCCTTTTTAAGCTTGTTTTCTTACAACTGTTGGAGCATATTCAACCCAGAGCTAGAGCCAGAGTCATATCTCCTCTTGGTCTTCTTATCCATTAACAGAGACGCATAATGAGTTATTGCTTTTCATATTGAAAGATTCATAAATGCCTCTCTCCCTCTCTCTCTCCACAACCACTAAGTTCAAGTTCAAATGAAAAGCAAGAGAAGGGATTTTGGAATCAAACTTGTAACAGACTGAATGTGTGACATTCCAAAGTTTGGAACTTTATGACTAAAAACATTAAAAAATAATAGAAACAAAGATTGTGGTTATTAGAAGTGAATACAAAGAACTTTTATGGAAGACTAGTCACAAAGAAGAGGAATGGTAAAATGGTGATGGTGATGATGGGTTGTGGTGGTGATGGGTGGCTGACGATCAGTGTTAGGATGCCATGGAGGTGGGTGCAGTTGCAGCAAGAGATAAAATGGTGATTATGAAGAGGACAATGGTGGTTGCTCTTATATAAGAAGACGACGCATTAGATGAGGCTTGGAGAGACTGAGATTGTCAGGGTTTTAGATGGGATAGGGGAGATATGAATGAATAAATGGAAAGAGTGACAGCAAATCGAATGGACAGAAAGAGACCAAGAAGATCAGAAGGTTGCGAGAGAAGTAAGGGGCGTGCACATTACAACTAAGTCTAGATGAGCAGTAGTTGAACAGTGAAAACGCTTATTCTTTCAGTTTTGTTTGTTAATCGTTAATATGAACATAGAAAAAGGCCTTAAGACCAAAGACTAACGTTGCAGTAAACATTAATGAGGAAACACGGTAAGGTTGTATTTTTATTTAGTCATGTGACCTCCATACGACTGCCACATGTCTAGCCTTAGCTATTCTTATAAGTAAACATGGATGGTCTCTCTCTCTCTCTCTCACTGTCTCATTCTCTCTCTCCTCTTTGGTTTTCATTCTTGCATTGTTGGATAAGAATCAGGAGATGACATTATAATCTATCCTCTTACGTTTTTGTTCTTGCATTTTTGGATTAGAATCAAAAGATGACATTATTATCTAGGCTCACTTTCCCACACTTATATTGATAGTTTACCACTATTGAGAAAATAATAAATAAAAAGAAAAGAAAAACTATAAATGCTTGTTATTTAAAGCCTTTCTTCTTCTGAATGATTATCACTGTTAGTTTTGATATTTTTTCAATTTTTTCTTTGTTATATAATTTTGTATTGATTAATTATCAATTATCATACATATATTATAGTGAAAAATTTTAAAAATCAATTGCTAATTTCTATAAGGTTGCATGAAGAATAATCATTTTTTAATATAATTTTAAAAAAATAAAAAAAATCTAATTCATGAAAAATAATCACTATTTTTTTAGGTTGTATGAAAAAAAAAAAACCATTAATTGTTTAGAGAAAATTGGTATTGAGCAAGTAATAAAATAATATATAATAAAAAACTACAAAAAAGAAAAAGAAAAAAGTTGGGTTGAGCATGTGCATGTGGTGCACGTAGGGCCAAGTGGCAACCAGATTTGAGTACCTGGCCTAGAAGCGTTTAGTCCAGGACTTATCTACAGATAAATGTATATGTGTATGTCTGTAGATATATGTATGTATGTATGTAGATACACACACATACACACATATATATAAAGAAGAAGGTACTGTTTTTTGTTCCTCACATTCAATTTTTACATATTTTTTACTTAAAAATACCCTAAAATCATAAGTAAAAATCTATTTTGAACTTCAAAACACATTCTAATGCACCCTAGAAACGAAAACATAACAAACTCCTCTCTCTTTTATGTCTTCTCTCTCCTTCCACAACATTCAGGTACCTTGTTGTAATACAAATAAAGTTTAGAGAGTGTTTCGTGCAAAAATATAACTCCAAGAACCATAATGTAGAAAAGTATACATTACATTTTCAAACAATGACTTCAATTTTTTTTTTTTTTTTAATTTCGTTCTTTAATATTTCTACAATTACTATACAAAACTTCACAATCAAAATTGGAGGTTACTATCAATAATGGGTTAAAGGTCCAAACTGTTGCTTTACTATTTTATTTATCTTAATCATGTCATTTTATTTATTTTTTTAATAATTGTATCCCTCTATTCTTAATTTGTGTCTTAATTTCTTTTTAGCAAAATTTCTGATAATTGCATCAATTTTCGACAATATATCCATAAGATGTTGATATGTGGTATTTTTAAAAAAAAAATTGTGAAAAAAATTAAAAAAGCCTAAAAATATATAAAAAAATAAAAAAAATCCCAAAATTCCCACCTTTTTCTATACCTTTATGTATAGAAATAAATAATTCATTTCACCCTTCAATTTTTTTTTTTTTTTTTTGCTTTCTCTCAAATTCTGAAAAAAAATAAAAATAAAAAAGTTCAAAATGCCCATCTTTTTTTGCTTTTTTCTTTTGTTATTATGTTATGAAAAATATTTCATAATTTTTTTTTTTTGGGTTGGATTTGAAATAAATTTCTGAAATAAATAAAATATTTTTTGCTTCTATTCTTTCCTACACATAAAAACTTTTCTATATTTGTTTGAATTTGAGAGAAAGCAAAAAAAATAAAAAAAATAAATTGGAAGATGAAATTAATTATTTATTTCTATACATGAAGTTAGAGAAAAAGAGAGGCATTTCTAGAATTTTTTTTTTCAGATTTTTCAAGGATTTTTAAACTTTGTTTAATTTTTTTTTTTTAAAAAAAAAACCACGTGCTAAGATCTTATAAGTTTATTGTCGAAAATTGATGTAATTATTGAAAAATTTAGCCAAATAGATGAAATTAAGATGTAAATTTAGAATAAAAGTACATGATTAAGATGAATAAAACAATAAAGGGGCATCTTATCCCTTTAACCCCATGAACATTGGAGGCATATATAAACTAGCCTATTTATGCTAACAATAAAGTCCTTTTATTAGAAAAAATACTTTTAAGTCCAACTCCGATGATAAAAGACTATTTTCCTAACCAGAATATCAAAATTGTAACTTCCATCAACGCATTCCATTCTTGTTCAGAACATGCAATTACCAATCTAACCTTAAGTCCCCTCACCAATTTAAGCCATAATTCAACAGCACCTAGCTGAGGCCTGGGGCGGTTGAATATTGTGAAAAGTTACTATTTATTCTGTTTATGATCATCATGGCATTCTGTTAAGGAAAGTAAAAGCAATCCTTTTGAAGGGAAGGAAGGCAGTAGAAAAGGCACACATCCAACTAGGCAGAAAGCCTAATCGTAATTTATCATGTTGCCCCTTGGGTTTTAATTTCTTGGTTAGGCTGCTTGCTGCGTATGATGGCCCATCTCCGTATTATGTTTTTTCAGTTGCTAGATGTGATTCTGAGCTAGGTTGTGTTGCGTTTAGGTTAACATTTTCACTACCTGTTATATATTAGCACGTTCCGTCTTGTTTTTCAGATGATTAACTCTCATTGGGTAGCTTTGATCATATTGGGGGCTTTAATTTTGGGTGCCTACAGGCATATGATATTTTGAGAACTTCTCCCAAATGAGACCACCTATCACTCCTTGTGTAGTATATATGACCTGGTTCCTGCTTGATCTATTCTTGGTTGAAGTTCATGCAGTATTTGGTTTTGAGTGGCCTGGTTTTTTCTGTGCATTATTGGGCCCCTTGATTTGTCTAAAGCAGATGGCTTTCTTTGGCTTGCCATAAAATGCTGAGAGGTTGTTGCATCGATCTTGGTTGTTGCTTGGAATGTCCGGGAAGCTGATCAGAATTAAGTTGGTTTATTTGGTTTCAGCTAAAGTGCACTGAGTTTGATGTATTCTCCATGTATCTTGAGTCAAGCCTCTGCTATTAATCGTATCAGCTAGTAGAAAGTGTCTATTTTGCTTTGGTTTTGGACAGGCTCAATCATCATTGTCTTATGCCATGTTAGTTTTGATCATTTCACTACTACTGTCTGCTTATTACTTTTCTGGATAAGGAAATCATCTTATGCATTCTGTGATTTTTTTTTTTTTTGGTCTCTGAACTGTCTTTTCTTGTTTTCATTTTTAATAAACAATTTTAGAACTGCTTACCACCCAATAAAGCGAAGTGAATCATTCTGAGTTATTCATCTTTAAGTCCTCAATTCCAATCTTGATTCTAGCGCTATAACTTACTTCATTAGCTCTCGATAACTGGAGCCCAGCTAGAAGATCAGGAGACAGAACCTCAGAGAGTGGAATGAAAACAGAGAGAAAAAAAATGAATATGAAATTCGTCTATACTCTATATATACCTGCATGTCATCAATGGGGAAAGACCCAAGTATACAAAAGGTTTTTGTTGAAAAAAGTAAAAACCTATCTATGTCCTCTCCTCCATTTAGAACTTCAAAAGATGCACACACAGAAAATAATAATAATAATAATCATAATCATAAAGCACCACTCACAACATTCAATATTGCCTATCCATTTCATGTGCAAAAAGTTTTGCAACTTCCATGACTTTTAACTCCAAATCACACCTCAATTTACTTGCACCTTTCAGGGAGTTCAAGGAAGAACATTATAACAAGAACCCCGATGGAATCTTGCTGAACCCACGACAGGTTATTACCTGAGAAATCAGGTAGGTCCTGACCAGCTGCATATCTTGGATATACGATGGTGCATATTTATCCAAAATTTTGAACAGGGTTCAGCAGGACCTACTCAGGTTGATCTAGTATTGAACAATTTCTTGATCTGGGACCATCTGTGGCCTGTGAATTTGGAGGGTCATTTAAGGGTTCTGTTTGAGCCTTCGCTTCCTGATTTATGACTGAATTACATGTAAGGGATACTTCGGTGATGCAACTTTCTGTACTGCCATCTGGACTAAGGACGCTAGCATTCAAGAATGGAGGTTGCTTTGGAGAGGGGATTTCACTATTGGTATTGGTGAGCATCTTAACTACTTCATTCATGGACGGCCTTAGTCTTGGAGAAGCTTGCGTGCATAGAAGTCCTATTTGAAGCACAGTTTCTGCCTGTTTCTTGGAAAATCTATTTTTTAAGCCAGGATCAATTATGTCCGTAATTGTGTTTTCCTTGTAATGCTTCCAAACCTGATGTCAGAATGAAGAAAAACTATGTCAACATGCCATTTAACACATTCTTACCATTGGTAAAACACTTCAAATTACAGATCAGGCTCGAGATTGTCAAGCCAAACACATTTTGATTCAGTATAACTTTCTTGGGGATAATAGATTTTCTTGTTTGATCACTAATTATTGTCTATTTTTTAAAAGTAAAGTGCCTCTTACATTGTATGATCTGAACAAGAATTTTCCAAGTAAAAAAATAAGATGCTAACAAAGGTCCCAATGATCAAATGGAAATAATTATCCCCATGTCAAAAAAGTTTTTTAAATGAAACACCTGAGAGATTTCAATAAGAATAATTCTCTGCAAAGGTATAAGAATCTTACAGAATGCAGAATTGAACTCGATCCCTGTGAGAACACACTGTTCTTTCTACCAGTTGCAATCTCAAGAACTAGAACCCCAAAACCATAAACATCAGCTTTCTCTGTTAGATGCCCTCGAACAAGATATTCAGGAGCCATATATCCCCTGCAACAATTAGTCGCGATTTATAAGTAACATATAATTGTACAAACATGTTAATTTAATTGAGATGTCGATTCTGATCTAAATTTGTTATGTTGAAACTTAGTTCCCCTCTTAGTATTACTCCCTGAATTACACAGGATATGGAAATCGACCGATGTGCTTTTAAAGAAAAGAATATGTAGACGAAAAGTAACACTAAAACTTGTATATTGGAGGTCCATTTCTTACAATGTTCCTGCAATGCCAGTGCTAATATGGGTGTTATCATTAGCAGCACAATGTGCAAGTCCGAAATCGGCAATCTTTGGAGTAAGCTTCTCGTCAAGAAGAATGTTGCTAGTTTTAATGTCTCTGTGAATAATTGTCACTCCAGAACCTTCATGCAGATATGCAAGTCCTTGGGCTGTTCCAAAGATAATATTAAACCTCTGCTGCCAGCTGAGGACATGTATTGTGTTCTTAACTGCAAGGAAAAACGAAGATCTTGTTATTGCTGCAGATACATACACTTGTTCCAAAAATATAGACCTCAAGTATCCTACATGCTCTTTTGACCTATAATTATTGTCGGCATGAGTGTTAGCAGAAATCTCAAGGATTATTTTTAAGGAACGATGAACATGGTAATCATATTAGAAAGGGAAAATCAAAGCATCCAGGAACTGAAAATACTGACATCAACTGTAGAGTGACTTACTAAAAAGAATTTGATCAAGGCTCCTGTTAGGTACATATTCATAAACAAGAAGGCTCTCAGGACCTTCAATGCTGCAACCCAAGAGGCTGACAAGGTTTTGGTGTTGAATACCACTGATCAAGTTCACTTCATTGAAGAACTGGTCAACCCATTGCCGTGTATTATAGACCAATCTCTTAACCGCAACCGTTCTTCCATCTGGGAGAGTTCCTTTAAAAACAGAACCAGCTCCTCCTTGGCCTAACTTCCTCGAGTCATCAAAAAACTCAGTTGCCTTCTCAAGCACTTCATAAGTGAAATTTACACTAGACTTGGGCGGAAGGCAGAGATTTGTTTGGCCTAGCGAGACGAAAGAGCAGAACAAGTTAGACATGGATACATTTGAAATTTGATGGATCATTAAGGACGTAGTTTTTTTTTTTTTTTTTTTTTTTGGGGTTGCAATTTCACCTCCTTTCCTCTTAGATAGTCTCTCATATCCAATAAAAGCACCAAAAGAAGCAAGCACGATGAACACAACTGTTGATAAAGAACCAGCAACTATGATTGCTGTGTTGTCTGTACTTAGGTAGCAAAACATGTTAGTAAATCATAAGAACACGAAGTAGAGGTAAAATGACGGAAAACAAGTATTCAGTTCAGTTCAATTCAATTCAATCCTCTAAAATTCAACAGTCGTGAACTTAGACTACGTCTATACCACAAAAACCAACCTTGAATTTTTATCCTATTTAACTAAAGAATCAATAAAGATTGTGAAAATAACAAAACGGAACAACAACACAACATTCAAGACCAAACGAATTTAATCAAAGACAGCCAATCTTACCATGATCAGCTTTTGAATCTACGGAGTTGTTAAAAAATTTCTCTGTAGAATATTTCATGTAACAGCCAGCAAATAAGGCACTGCCCTCCGAGCCAGGAGCACATTGCCTTAATTTCGAGCCTGCATTCACCAAGCACTTTCTACATTCCTCTTTATCGAGCGTATTCCAACACTGTGCCAATGCATAAACAGAGAAAACTCCTCCATTTACCTCCGCAGCTGCAAATGTTCCATTCCTGAGTGTCATTTCAGTGACATTCTGTATCAATGCTGCCACGCGTTGCTTGAATTCCATGTGCAGAAAGCTATCTGTCAAAGCACCTGTTGGCTTACCACATACCACAACATCATTCGTGGGATCATTGGCTTCATGGAAGAAGCTATAGTTATCGTAACGAACAAAACAACCATCAAGATAGATACGTGCAGAAGTGGCAGGGATGCAACGTGGGAGCTTGACTCTGGCGTGGCTAAAACAGATTTTGCAATCAAGACTAGAAAGATCATTGTGACATTGGGCTAATCCATAAATCGTAGGCAATGGGGAGGTGATTGAATCGTTTCCCCAGTTGCGAAAAGAAACTTGTCTCTGGAGAGAATTCATGACTTTCTCAAAGTTTGATATGAGGGAATCGTCAGTGCGCTTAGAAGAGGAGCAGGTAAGGCTGATTTCGGAGCTGCGATTGGCGGACGAAAAGGGAGAGAGAATTAAAAGGAATATTACGAACAACCGTATGAGGTTTCGAGGGGATAATGTGAATGATAATTGCATTGAATCCAGATGGGGTTGCTCTGTTTTTCTCTGTTTCTCTCTCTTCTCCTCTGTTTTGATGTAACATGTATTGAATAATGAAGGAGAATAGAGGACATGGATGATCACCTTCAATTGTTATCTTCTTCTGCAACCACATTCAATTGTTATTTTCCTCTGCAACACATTCTCCTCTATCTCTCTCTCTCTCTGTGGATGTGAGTGAGTTCTAGATGGAAATAGAGAGAGGAAAAAAGAATTAGATCCTATTCTGTTACGGTGTTTAACCGTAACAGAAAGTTTTCTGTTTCGTTTTTCTTGCATGCATTATCATATTTTCTGTCATTGATTTTTAAGAGGGAGATGGAGAGGGATGATGATCTGGCTTTGGTTTCTTTTTTCCTTAATTAGAGTATTGTTAAGATGGGAAAGCACATTGGGAAGTTAAAGATGGTTTGTGGGTGGGGCGGAATTTGGAACCAAAATGAGCTGCCTTTCTGGCTGGTGCTTAAGTTCCCATAATCTTTGCATCTACTCCCTCTTTTGGATTCTAGAACTAGGCCTTCGGATGTTAAGAATCTTACCACTTGGCAAGTCTTTCGCTACATTTTCACTTTCCTATGCTTTCATCTTTCCAAGAAATTCTTAAATAAACTAAACTAATTTATGTCTATTAAATCAATTTGATGGCTTTTTTTAAAAAAAATAAGAGTGGTACCCTAATAGTATATTGGATAAAATCAAGAATACAAGGAGGGACAAACCAACCTAACCAATATACTGGGAGGACAAGGAAGCCTAGACCTTTAACAAATGAATGACCAAACCGCAATCTATTCACTTTAAAAAGTGGAATAAAGCCATGTTCATAATTAGCCATCATCAAATAAATCGTAGCTATAAAACTAGATGAAGTAAAATACAAGAAGCACAACAGTCCCTGTCTTAACGAGGATTCTACTGGAAATAGCTTTGAGCCATGGTAACTCGTTGTCTCCAAATAGACTGAACCAGAATTGATGCCTTGCCTTGCAAGCTGTAGTGAGCCAACCCGAAGCTTGGCTGCATATTGGAGTACCATCGAGGCTAAATGATAGAACCACTCCTTGCGTAAAAACACAACCATCCGTCGTGGCCGGCTTTATAATATATGTGGCCCTAGGTAAAATAATATTTTAGAGACTCTTTCATAAAATAAATAACTAGTAAACATTATTTAAA